ACAAAGCATATCCCTCTATAGTGTGTACTTGTCTCTATCCAGGGTACTAAGTGTCATTTCTGTCTGCTGCCTTGTTCCTCTGCTATCTGCATAATTCTATTCTGATGAGTTTTCAAATACAAATGGTGATAGAGGAGGACATGGCATGTGATTGACAGTCCCAGCTCTGTTCCTGTGTGCTGTGTGAAGGGGAGTGTGTCTTTTCCCTCCAATCAATTCTCAGAGCTCTCCTCATTGATGTAATTTCAGCTCCCCACTCCCTGCCTTTCATAGCTGTGAGATCCTGTGTACATTCTGCACTTTAAATAGATATAGGGGAAAGATGGCTGTAGACAGACAGGTACAACTTATGTAGGAGGATTTGTTTCATCTCTGTGTATCACCTGAGGCTAGTCACTTCAATGGGTGTATGTGAGGGTTTACAACTGCTTTGAGCTGCAGGCTGACCCCAGTTTAAAACTGGCCATACACGACAGATTATTTTCATTCAGCCTGTAGGCTGAACACTAAAATCAAACAGATTCCTTCATCCTCGCTTTACAGCACAGAAGGACGAATCTTTAGTGCTTGCTATTCGGTTGACGATTTTCTACCTGTCTTTCAGTTTTTCACTTGAAGGATATCAGCTGGGAGGGTGCCAACAGGGCTACTAATGAAGCAAATTTCAGCTAGTTCATGTGGAAATGAATGGAATTCAGCTGTATGGCTAGCTTTACTGTTTTACTGTTGGCCAGTTATCTCAGAATAGCTGAATCCTGTGTCACTTAAAGTGGTTCTAAAGGATGAGGGCTTTTTTTTTTTTACTCTCATGCATTCTGTGCATGAAGGTAAAATAAATTTTAAGTATGCAGCTCCCCTTGATACGTCACCAAGTCTGATCCCAATCCAGCAATGTGCATGAGAGAGGCTGTTATCTCAGGTCTCTGCCCCCTCATTGGCTGAGGCACAGCAGCCATTGGCTCCCGCAGCTGTCAATTACAGCCAGTGAGGAGGGAGAGGGGGCGGAGCAGCGCCACTTTCCATGTGTCTTATGGTACACTCAATGGGGCTTGGGAGCGAGCACACACAAGTGCCCCCAGAACAAGCAGCTTGCTATTGTGCACTCGGAAATAAGGAATGTAGAACCAACCGCCTTAGGAGTCGCTTAAAGATTTGGGTCCCTCTATAGTCCTGCACAGCCAGGCATTACAAATCTTCACAAAAGCTTACATCCAGAGTCCAAAATCAGTCCTTGAGCTTTGGTTTTGTTGTTTTATTTAGGGGATTTTGAACTGGGATAGAGTTAGGGGTAAACAAAATGCCCAAGGGTACTGATAAACTGGACCTATTCTGCAGCACAGTCTCTGTTGGAGAGCCAGCCAGCGTCTCCTTAATGTACCACTTCAGACTCTAGATGAACTCCTCTTCTTCACCCAGAAATCTGGAGGTATCCCTGAACAGGGGGCCGGTGAGCTCTGACCTTTCCTCTATTCTAGCTCCAGGCCTGCAGATAGGCCCCATCCTGCTGGGCCTCCTCGCAGCCTCCTTCCTTCAGCCTCACATCTTCCACCCGAACTCTCCCTCCAACTCTCCACCTTTCCTGCAGCTGAGCAGGCTCCAACACTTTCAAGGGTGCCCAGCCTTTTGCCAACCTCTTGTTGGGGATTGGCTAGGACCCCTCAAGAGTGAAGCCAGCCACTCCACAGATCCACCCACTGCCTCTAGGGCCTTCCTCCAAAAGCTCTAGAGCAGGGGGGAATTCCAGAGAGGCTGGCCTGCAGAACCTCTCAGCCCAGACCACAGTTTGACCCCTCTCTGGCTATTACACTTGGGCTGCTGCTCAACCCCTGTCTAACTAATGGAGTCTAGCTCCCCCTAGCCAAATTATGAGGGTGCTACAGGAGGAACCAGGAGCGCTGGCAGGGGACTCAAGAAGAGGAGGATTGGGGCTGCTCTGTGCAAAAGAATTGTGCAGAGCAGGTAGGTATATATTTATTTTTGAATTCTACTTTTAATATCACTTAAGGCTCATTCAGCACAATGTTTACTTTCTGATCTGTGCACTGTTCCTGCCTACATGTAAAATTTTGACATGCGACTGTGTCTGTGCAGATGCTGCGTCTGCATCCACTTCTGGAGGCTACCTGCATGAACCTCTGAGGTGGATGCACACAGCAAAAAGTGGCTCTACATGGATGATGGGAGTCAGAACTTGTCTGAATGAGCCGTAAATAAGTGAGAAGGAAAACAGGGTTTTTGTACTTACTTTAAAATCTGTTACTTGGAGTTCAACAAGGGACATAGGCTCTGCTCTTGTATGTGTGATATACTCCGAGTACTGCTTTTTTGCTAAAATGTAGCATAATGGGAGTGGAAGAGGTTATACTTGGCTCGCTGACCATATCTTTTTTGTATGTCAGTATCGAATTCCTCCTATAGGTGGCGGTATAACTCGACTGTCTCTGAATAACGGAATCTTGTGTCCCTTGATGAACTTCAAGAAACAGATTTTAGAGTAAGTACATTTTTTTTTTTCTGCATGGAATATTTAATTACTGCCAATGCGGTGGGCGTTTAAGGTGTTGTTGCACATATGATTTTATACTCCAGTTCATGAGGCATATTATATTGAAGAGTTTTGGTGGTTTTGGTCTGGTGAGATGATATCAAGTGATTGAGATACAGTGGTTGCTCAGCATTGAACCCATGGAAAGCCACCCAAAATTGTTCTTCCAGTTTCTTGCATATACAGTATGTCTCTAAGAAGCACTGGTGGAACGATCTCCATGTATACAGTGGGACTCTGCTCTCTCAATCAACATTGACTATTTTTAATCCTTATTCTGCTAGCAATAGTAAATGGATAGGAAAGTATATCATATTTACTTTTAGCTTTGAAGCTTTATCTTGACCCTGCATTTCTTCAGTTACTTACTGGTTTCTTGCCTAGGCAAATGTCACACATCCCAGGAGTCTTCTGGAGGAGAGGAGGGGTTTTCTCCGCTAAGCACACCCTCCTGTCTGCATTCCTACACTAAGGGCAGATGGATTCCAGGAAGTCAATGTTACATGAATCATCTGCCCTTACTCAAGATGGCCACAACCAGAAATGCTAGGGTTTTTTTTCAAAGTTATTTCTTGGAAAAATAAAGCACAGAGACATGGATGGGTGGGGGAGTTTGCTTTGAATATTAAAAATTAATTAAATAGAATGTGTGTGTGTATATATATATATATATGTATAATTTTTTTATTTTTTTATTTTTTTACAGAGCATGACTTACCAGTTGTACGTATTTCCATATAACATCCAATGTATGAAGACAAGCAGGTCTGTATTGCAGGTCCAGTTATCTGTGCTAAAGGAGTGTCAGGTCCTACCCTTTTTGATGGGAATGAGTGCAGAGCCATGAATGCCAGCAGGATTTGTGGCCATTTTTATGGATAGTCATCTGCAATGACTGCTACTCTTATTTCGGCATTAGATGAATATGATATATAATAATAATATGAACACACACACATAAATATTTATAATCGTGTGGTTTGGTCTAAAAATTGTCCAACCATACACTTACATTAAAACACGTGCGATTTATTAAAAATAGAATATGAAACAACATAAAAAAAAGGCTTCATTTCACTATTTGTTATTTTGCATATGACACGGAACCATTCCACATTGTACCTGAATTTGGAAATGCATCATATAGTCCCAAATTATTAACAATCGCTAACAGTCCGTAAGTCATTGGCTGGACAGCCTCAGGTGCCCGCTTGTATTTTGCTATGTTACACCGATGCAAGACAATGAGAAACACCTGCTCTGGGTGACACAAAGAAACATGTAGCCAAGGACGTACTAAAATGACAGCTGCGCTGCCTTGTCGCCCGTCCGCTGACCCACCAGAATAAAATACAAGCATGTCTAGTACAGTGCAAAACAAGTCTTACATATGTACATATTATTTTAGTTACAAAAGTAGTGCAAAATCATGAAAGGCTGATGCAATCTGCTGTAGAATTGCTCAGCCGCACCCCACCCCTCTGCACTCCATACATCAGCCAACCTTTCTAGTAGCTGAACAAAGATCTATACAGATTTTCCTGTATTTCTGCTATGCCAATAATTTCAAGCATTTTGCTAATTAACCCTATGTAGCCTTACTAATATTTAGCACAAGTATGGTGGGGGTTAACAAAGATTGGCACACAAAGAAAAATGCAACAGTTTCTATCTGCATGTTAGTGTAGCATGTATGTGCCAAAAAAAAATAAAAGTGTTGCATGGCAATTCATTAATTGTTGCATGATAGTGATGTGCTGCCTGTTCATGCACATCCATCTCTCCTCTCCCTTCTGGCTGTCTGCCCCTCCTTGCTACAGTATATACACCACAGCAGTCATGATGTATATTTTAGAATGATTTGTACCTTAGAACATTGGAGCAAGTGCTTGATTATCATGGCACACACTATCGGATAATGCTATAATGATTTTGCACAGGTGGTGCAACAATGGGTAGGTTTGGTGTAATGGCATTGTTGATTCAGTGCTGATATTTACACAAAAAAATGGCATATTTCCCTTTGTTAGTCCCCCCCACCCCCCCCCCACCATAGTGTGCTAATAAAAGAATCGGTCCATGCATGATTATGCTAAGTGCCTTTTAACAAGTGTATTTTTTTTTATTTAAAAAATGAAAATGTAAAATTTCTAACTAGGTCAATAGAATTGGGGAATGAAAGGGTTATCCAGGGCTGTGCTAGAATGATTTAGTCACTGCAGCTTCAAATATTTATGAGAGGTGTAGTACAGGAAATATCCTCAGTTATTTCATGGTCATGATCCTAGTAAAGAATAAATTAGACCATTGAACTAAATATGATCCCGACTCCCTCCTTCCATGTTAATGATACACACTCACCCTCTTCAGAAAAAACAAGATTAAAAAAAAGTTAAACAATAAACCAGAACCATCAAATAATAAAAAACATAATGAATGTCATAAGCCACTATGGTCAATGTCCCCAGCTCCCGAATCCAATTTCCTCTTTATATCTGTTGGTGAGGAGGTTGGCTTTCCTGGTGAGTTTACTGAGCACTGTGTGAAGTCCAGTGAGATGGTAATGGAACTGTTTTTCCAAATCCTCTTCTCCATCTGCATCCTCCAGCCGGCTGATATCCATAGAGCTCACTTTGTCCTTTTTGCGCTCGTCTCCCTGCAAGATGCCCCATTCAATGTCATTCCTGATGGATTTCAGCAAAATGTAGTAACCGTGCATGTCTCTCCTTGCAAAGTAGTTGGCAGCCCCATTGCTGTTGTTGACTCCGTCCTTCTCCTCCATCTCGAGGGGTAAGTCTCTCAGCAGGCTGGGCACCATTACCGTTTGGTCCATGTTGTTCACCGCCCCGATGAACCTATTCATGGCATTGAACAAGGAGTGCTTCTGGTTGTACGTGTCGGATATTTGCATCATTTTTGCAGCCCGGTGATTAAATCCTGAGCAGGTGAAAGCACAAGCACCAGAAACAATGTGCTCCTTGGGTGTCACAATCCGCTTTTCTGGAGATGGCGATTAGCGCCACAAAACGTAGAAGCCAGGTAAGCTGCTTTATGTCCCAGTGTCAGCTCATCGGCCGTGCTCCTGGTTCCTGTGGTGCTATCGGACAGCGATTCTCAGGCAGCTTTTCTCAGCAGTGGCTGCTTTCTTTAAAAAAGCATCGGTCGCATCAAGTCCTCTTTACTGTATCATGTAAATGACTTAAGATCTGAGTCAGCCTGATAGTAACCACTCCTTTTTTCTCATCCACATGCACCAGGCAACCGGCTTCTTTTCAGTCCCAAGCACAGTATATATACCCTGGAAGAAAAGGTGTAGCTGAAAGTGCCACCCCCTTGCAGTATAGCAGGATAAAGCCGGTTCACATATCTGAATGACCGAGAGTAACACAGGCTTTAGCTTTGCCTAACATGGAAACTCCTCCCAATTTCTCATCTCCTCACATCCAGGCAGGTCCCAGCTGCCCAGTAAGAAGATCAGGCTTGTTGCCTGGTAAACCCCCCTACTCCTTGCATCATGCACAGTTACTGGCAGGCACCTTACAAAAGCTGAAATCAGTCAGCGAGGAAAAAATGTGCTTGAAATGTGCATGACTGGTCGCGGATGTGTGTGAGCTAAACATATCTCCATGTACAGCACATGCATGTGGGTGGTGTTCGCTATCTGCTGTGGACGACCGGACCTCCTGGCATGTTACCAAGTTTAATATAACTTGCAGAGGAAGGGCGCTAAAGGCAAATATTACAGCAGACAAAAAAGCTAATCATTTACTGTCACTATTTACAGGGAAGTTATATTTAAACACAAAATGGACGCAGATTGCTGAGTATGTCACATGAGAAACTGAGAACAAAATGCAAACGTGTGCTCTATTGTGCAGAAACGAGCTGCGTGCACAAACAACAGCGTAACCAAATTATTCATATTATTTTATTTGTATAATAATCTTTTTATATATTATTACTAGTGATACAATTAGGTTGAGGCATAAGCTGGCCATAGGTGGACCGAAATTTGGCTGGTTTAGCAGGGAACTGATGAATTTTGATCCATCTATGGCCATTCCTACTTGATCTACTTTGTAAGCTCCCCAAGGAGCAGGGCCCTCCTAACCGGGGCGGACTGACCATTTGGAAACTTGGGCACTGCCCGAGGGCCCGGGGTCAGTAGGGGGCCCCATGAGATGCCCCTGGTACCTTTTTCAAAGGCTTTTTTGAGTTTGGGCAAGGACACAGGGGCCCCATGATCTCCTATTGCCGGGGGCCCCATGAGTTATCAGTCTGCCCCTGCTCCTAACCCTCTTCTATTATTATTATACAGTATTTATATAGCGCCAAAGGGTTTAATCAGCAATGTACAATATAGTGGGGTACAGAACATGAGACAAGACAGAAACAATACAATACACAAGGGGTTCGAGGGCCCTGCTCTTTCGAGCTTACAATCTAGTATTGAACTGTATTGTTGCTGTATTGTCTCCCATTGTATTGTAAAGCGCTGAGCAAACTGTTGGCGCGATCTAAATCCTGTATAATAATAATACAAAAGTTGATCTAACGATAGAGTTCTGCCGAATAGGTATGTTGGAAGTTTTCTCGATTAGCAAGCTGCAGTCAATAGGCTGTAGTGTTGATCAGTGTATTCTGACAGCGGAGGACTTCAGCTGTCAGGCTACAATAGCACAACGGGGAGAATGCCTCCATCCACTGTACTTGTGTGGATGAGAAATCACTTCATTTTTTTTTTTTTTTTATTTCAATCAGCCCACTGGCTGATTAGAAAAAAAAAACAAACCCATCTATGTCCAGCCTTAGTTTACACTTGCAACTAGGACAGTAAAAATAGGCAGTTGAGCAGCATTTTTTAGAACCCACCTTTAGTCTAGGTTCACACCTATGCATTTACCGCTGCGTTTTGCAGAAACGCACTAGCAGTCCATTTCACTTGATTTCCTATGGAACAGGTTCACATCTCCGCGTTTTCACCCGGTGCGTTTTTTAGAAAGGGTCAGGGACTTTTTTTAAACTCAAAATGTTGCATTTTTGGTTCTATAGACCTCAATGGAGATGTTGCAGAAAAGCATGTAGTGCGTTTTTGATGCGTTTTAATCTGCCCAGCAACAAGTTACAAAATAAGAAAATAAAAACACAAAATGCATCAAAAACACATATGCAAAAACGCACTGTAGAAATGGATCAAATGCAAACTGCGTAGGTGTGAACGTAGCCTAAGGCCCCTTTCACAAGGGTGGTCCCATCAGGTCCGCCTGTCAGTTTTTCAGGTAGACCTGACTGGATGGTCCATGTATCCCAATGGACCAGCGGGTGTAAACAGACTTGTTTCCGTTTACACCTGCCTACCTCCAATCCAGTCTGCTAAAAAAAAAATTGGAAGGGGATTCATTCTTTTCTGGCATTCTCGTAAGATCCGATCTGTCCAGCTGATCGGGAGGGCAGTCGGGTGTAAATGGACAGCAAGTCCGTTTACACCCGACTGCCCATAGAGCATAGCAGGCTCTGCCCGTGTCCACTCTGCATACATTGAGCAGACATGGTCCTGTCATCCTCCCCGCTCTGCTCTGATCAGCAAGGGATGAGTAGACAGATCCCCTACTGAGTAAATCCAATTCCGCCCCTTGTGAAAGGGGCCTTAGGCTGCAAAGGCAGCTGTGCGGAGGTGTACACATGCTTTTCTTTGTGAAGCAGCAAACATTATCCCCCTGTTGCGTTCAGTGAGCAGTACCATCACCAAGATGCATATTCAAGTAAATTAGGCTGAACCACATGCCAAACGCTAGGTTTGTGGTTGGGACATGGTATTTCCATTCAAACAGTCCTTTGTGCTGTAAAAAAAAACAAAACAGTAATTTGGGGGGGGGGTGGTAGTATTGCCTCTTCAATGCCTGTCAGCTGTTTCTGCATTGCTCTGTGAAAAGCAATCCACCATGGATCGCACTTTACACAACGACGCAGGTGTAAACAGGCCCTTAGTCTACTTTTACCAGAAAATAAATATTTTAGAAGCATTATGAAACATTCTATAGATCCTCTGTTTTCAGAAAATAAATAGTTTGGGGGTCTTTAGAAAATTTTCAGCCAGTGATGTGTATTTCTGCATGTGTGGGAAAATGAAAAAAAAAATGGTCAGGCAGCAAAGAGCTAGGCTGGCCATACACTATACAATTTTCTGCCCAATTTCCTTTGGATTTACCTTCAACTGTGTAGTGCAAGGGCCTGCCTAATTGGATACAACTGAAAGTGTTGTTTGGGTTTGACCTCCTATTATATGGTTTTTGGTAAATCTAAAGCAAAATTCTCAAGAAAATTGTATAATGTATGGCCAGCCTTGGGGGAGATTTACTAAAACAGTAGCAGACAGAATCAATAGCAATTTGCATAGTAACCAATCAGCTAGTAACCCATCAATTACACTCCCCTTGTGATTGACAGCAGGCAGTGGGTGGATTCCATAGCCAATAGACAGCCTGCCATTGGCTATAGAATCTGCCCCTTACCTGCTGTCAATCATAAGGAGGAAAGGGACAGGATTTGGAACTAGTGTCTCAGCTTCCCCATCAGGCTCCACCTACTGTCAACATCAATTGTAGCTAGGAAGCTGTAAGGCTACAAAGTCCTTAACAACCAATTACAGGCAGGAAGGGGTGGGGGTAGCAGCGAAAAATATGCTGCCTGCTACTCAACATATAAGGACAGGCACTCTGCAGGTCTCTGTACTCCAATTTAGAGCTGGTTGTTATGTATGAACAGGAGGAAATTATTTTTGAATTTGGTGCAGTATTAGCACAAAGGATTGGGCAGTACAATGGGCAACACATGAGATTTTGACCCTTTTTTGCATCACAATGATGCTGATCTTGCTCTGCCTCTTTGCTGCCACTTCCTTGCTACATGTATGTGCTTCAGCTTTAGCTGCACATCAACTACCTGATAGTGACACTGCACTTCAGCACAGCTGGTTGTAGGTACAATTAGAACCAAGGCTGGCAGAGCGACAACATAGGGGCACAACTGGTAAACAGTTGTCACCCCATATAGAAGTGATTGAACAATACCCTTCATTGCAGGATCATGAAAATGTAATAATATTAACAACTTTTAACCACTTGCCCTCCAGAGGATTTACTTCCCCCCCTTTCCTGACCAGGCCATTTTTTGCGATATGGCGCTGTGTTACTTTAACTGACAATTGCACGGTCATGCACGCTGCACCTTAAATGAGATTTATGTCCTTTTTTTCCCACAAATGGAGCTCTCTCTGTGGTATTTGACCACCTCTGTGGTTTTTATTTTTTGTGTTTATAAACAAAAAAAGACTGACAATTTTGAAAAAAAAACAATATTTTTGACTTTATGCTATAAAACAAATCCAGTATAAAAAATTTTAAAATCAAATTTCGTCATAAATTTAGGCCAAAATGTGTTCTGCTATGTCTTTGCTAAAAAAAAGCCAATATGTGTAAATTATTTGGTTTACGTGAAAGTTATAGCGTCTACAAATGGCAGTATATATATAATAGATTTTTTATTTTTATACTAGTAATGGCGGTGATCAGCGACTTATAACGGGACTGCAGTGGGCATTCTGACACTGGGTGGGAACTGACTAACTGTCACTGACATCCCCAGTGACACTAATACAGTGATCAATGCTAATAAAAAGCACTGACACTCTACTAATGACACTGGGCAGGAAGGGCTTAACATCTGGGATGATCAAAGGGTTAGCTGTGTGTGTTTCACATCATGTGCTTTGTGCTGCTGTACTAGGGAAACATACTGCTGTGTATTGCTCTGCAATGCAGAGCAATACAAAGCAGCATGCTGGTGCTGATAAGGGAGAGATCTGTATTGTTTACATACAGACCTCTCCCCGTTAGTGTTCCTCAACAATTGCCA